CCCCCCCTCATTGCCTTTTATTTTTGTCGCCGTTTGGGGACGGCGCTGAGCGGTGCGGAGAGGGGACATCCCCGGAGAGGGGGACGTTAGGAACCCGTTTACAATCCCGGTTTTGTTCGGGCTCCGTTCGGTAAACCTTCAGGAGCGCAGTGGAGTGGTCAGGTCGGAAAACATTTTAGCGGAGGGCAGATTTATGGTTCAAAAGGAGAAAAAAAAGAAGAGAACATGAAGGAGGAGGGAGGGGGGGAGTTGGGGGGGATCTCTCGGCCTGGTGTCAATTCATTTTTTTACTTTTTATTTTGATTACGGTTATCATGATTGTTATTATTGTTATTTCTACCCTACCCTGCTTCTCTGCCTGCCTTCATCCCGGTTCGGATAAAGGAGGAGATCCGCAGGTTCGAGCAGCTCGCCCACCTCCTCTTGGCGAGCGGGGAGAAATCACCCGGCTTTCTCGTTATTAATTAAAGAGAAAAATCCCAATCATCGCTCGGACGGGACTTTGGAGGCACTTTCGGAGCCGGCTCTCTGGAGGGGCTTGTCAGGAACGTTTAGCGATGTTGAAAAGCCGTGATGTATGGAAGTTCATTTTGGTTCATTCAAACGGATCCCATCTCCTGCAGTCCACCTCCCCCCCCCCTCTTCTTTCCCCCATCTCCCCCCCACCCCCCCCTCCCTTTCTCTTCGCCGCAGCCTCCGCTCAGCCCCGGTCCCATTAGGGCAGAGCAGGAGATGCCCCTTTGTCTGCACCGGGGCTTTCTTTTGTTGGTGGTGGGTTGGGTTGGGTTAAAATCGTGCCGCAGTTTTAGTTCATGTGCAAGGCCCCCGCTCTCCTCACCCCCGTGCGGGGCTGCACCAGTTATAAAATGCCATTTGGCGCTGCTGGGAATTGGCGCAGCCATTGAATTTCTCCTCCACCGCAGCCCTCGCCTCCTCCAAGCGAGGTAAAACAACCCCCCCCACACACGCCCCCCACTCCAACGCCCCCCCCGGCTACTGCTCAAAAAGAAACGAGAATTATACAGAGAGAAAAAATGATAATAAAATGGTAAAAAACGAGCGAACGGCGCACGCTGCGTGCTTTCCCCGGGAGTGGGAAAATCCAAAGGTTCGGGATGTGCGAAAATGCGGCGTTTTCTGTCGAAATTCACCCAATTTCTATACGACAGTGATAATTAAAAAGCTCTGATTTCTATCCAAACGCCTCGATTTGGGGCCGAACGTTGCGATTTTCCGTCAAAACGCTGCGATTTTCGGTCAGAACGCGGCGATTTCGGGGCCCAGCGCTTCGATTTCGGCATTCGGAGGTGGGGGGGGGAGATAAGAATACGCGGCCATTGTGGGGAGTGGGAGTCGTGGGGGGGGAAAGAGGGGTGGGAGAAGGAGCGCTCTGCTTTCTACAGGGGGGGAGGGAAGGATGCGCTGATGACCGATGCGGATCTCGGCGCGGATGTTTGGCGCAGATGCGCGTCTGTGCGGTTCTCCGCGTGCGTGCGCGGTTGGTGCGTGCCGGGTCGGGGATGCGCCCTTTTGTGATGGGTCACAAAACCCGACGGGACCCTCCAGCTGTCCATAGGTACATTTCCGCAGCCAAAAAAATGCCGCTTTTACAGCTCTGTTTGTCTCCCTGCTATGCGGGGCTGAATAGGGGCGAACAAAACAGGACCCTAGATCTGGCTAGACGTCTGGCTTTAATTGCTTTATGGTTTAAATAAGGTGGGTGCTCTTCTCTTTGAAACCGGATTATTGGAATGTTTTGTCTACAAGCTACAAACAACAGACCCCCTCGGACGAGAGGAGGTAAAAAAATAAAATAAACCCCCCCCCGCCCCACATCCCCGAGCCCGGACTGATAAAAGCGGGGAGGGAGGGTGGTGCGGGGGGGGGGGGGGGGGG